ATATTATATAATATTATATAATATATACATATTAATATAATATATATTATATAATATTATATAATATATCCATACATATTAATCCTGCTGCCATACAGATTTGTATGTGTGTTATGTATGTTCCCACAATTTTTATTTAATCCTCTAAACCAATAAAGTTTTATTGGGCCATGCCATTGTATTAATAATGTCTATGATTGCTTTCACAGTACAACAGCAGAAGAGATGTGTGACTCACAGTGTAAAGTATTTACTCTGGTCCTTTACAGAAGTCTGCCAATCCCTTGCTCTAAACAGTTGTCACCCACCAAATAAATAACTGAGAACCATCACAGTTATGCTGCTTCTCCTGCAGAACAGCTGGATGTGATGGAGATGGTCAATTACAACTCACTCCACCCCACCCACCTCCATGGCAGTCTACCCTCCCATCATCTGCAGCCTGAGAATCACCAGATCCTAAGATGCAACACTATTCAAATTGTTCTCCAACTATGATGAACAGTGTGATTTTCATAAATGTATGATCACTAAAAATAAATATTAGAACAATTCTCCTATTTAGATATTTCTGGTGATTCACTATGCATTCAGTGTAGTTTACTGCATTCTGTCCTTTGACAAATGGTCATTCTTGACTGTTATATATGACAATAACTCAATTAAACTCCCTTGGTGGTATAAATGGTTTAAGCACTTGGCTCCCAACTAAAAAGTCAGTGTCTCAAAGCCACTCAGGCGTGCCTTGAAAGAAAGGCCTGGGAAACTATTTCTGGAAGATTATAGCCATTGAATCAGAATCAACTTGATGGCAACTGGTTTGAGTTTCTATTTTGACTAGAGTTACATTTCCTATGAGTAATTCTGCTGAGGAGTAAAGCCCTTCCACAAATGTGAATTCCTAGATACCTGTGCTTACTCCTAAGTAGAAATGCAACATTTTAATCATTTGGGTAAGAAATCTTAAAAGAAAAACAAACAAACAAAGGTGTCAGGGGAGACATACCTGTCCCTGCTTTAAGCACAATAACCTTTCTTTTTTTTTCAGGAATGATTTAGAGTCATTACCAGGAACATCAATTACTGGAATAGGTTATGTATTGATGTCCTCAGGGGCTACTGGATTCACTGGGCTCACTGCCTCACTCCAACTGGTCTGCTCAGACTATTATAATTATAACTCTGGTATCTCCTTTATATGGTTCTTTGTCTTCCTTCTCCATTTCTGCTATTATCATTTCTGTCTCTAGTCACCAACATACCCTCTATTTACCACAGCTAATTGGCTGTGGGTTTGAAAAAGCAAATAAAACTCTATCGTGTTAGGTTTGTTTGTAAAAGGTTACTCATTGCAGGTAATAGGCCTCTCGGAAAGACCGGGTATAAAGTCCTTGAGTGCCGGAGCCCTGTCTTTTCATTAGACCAGTGCCTGACCAACAGTAGCCACCCAATAAAGGTATTTATTAAACAAATGCATGAGCAAAATGCATGTGATTTGTGATCCGAGTTCCATCTCTTGGAGGTCTTATTTGCTTACTTTCAGGACTGCAGCCATACTCTGGATGGTGGAAGGGATGTATGCCAAGCACGACCATGATGTGGATTAGTTATGACTCTTACTCCATTAACCAGATGTTCTACTCTTGAAAAATGTGAGACTAGAGTGTACCAGAGAAGCTCTGTTTTCCCACTGCATCTCACTGGTGAGTGACAACCTATGACACGGGAAAGGATCTAACCAAAGGCGTGCTTGGAAAAGCCAGCCACTAAGTGCTGAACTGAAGAGCACATATAAACCACATGTCAGAAGTTCAAAATAACCAAAGTAAAAGCAAGCAAGACTTCGTCATGTCATTGTTGTTGTTGTCGTTATGGGCTGTCGAGCTGGATCCGACCCATAGCAACCTCTCCTTGGGTTTCCGAGGCAGTATCACTATGGAAGTAGATTGCCCAGACTTCAGCCTCCTTCTAAAAAAGAAGCTACCTCCATAGCTTTTTTTTTTTTTTTAAAGCTATGGAGGTAGATTTTTAATAGATATTTGTTCTTTAAATAAGCCAACTGAAAGCCTGAGGAATATGGAGAAAGCCTGTCAAACAAAATGTACACGTTCCCTTTACCCTGCTCTAATAACAAGGAGCTCTGGTGGCATAGTGCCTAAGGCGTTTGACAGCTAACCAGAAGGCTGGCGGTTCAAACCCACACGCCACTCCTCAGAGGGAAGGTTGGCCAATCTACTTCTGTAGTGATACTGCCTCGGAAACCCAAGGACGGGTCGCTGTGAATCAGGTCCAACTCGATGGCACATAACAACAACAATAATAACAATGACATAAAGGCTAAGTGTAGACCCCTTTCCCTCTTCTATCCTGAGTTAGGGAAATGCCAGTCCTTGGGGCTGAGTAGTGGCTCTTTTGCCAAGGGTTCACACCCTCACGTGCCCTGGCTTGCAAGGGGCTAGGCAAAACTGCTTGCTCAGGCCTCTGGGTTAAGCTCAGGAGGATGGTGAAACCAGAACCCCTAACACTACTCCTTGCAGCCAGCTCATGTCCTCGGGGGTGCAGCCCCCTCCAGCCTCACTGAACCCCTTCATCATCCCAGCCCCTTGTCCTGTCTGTGCTCCAAAGTCTTATCTTTCAAATCAACCCAGAAAGACACTTGGGAGCAGCAGCTAAGTATATATAAGGAACTGTGCAAGGGGC